ATGATTTGAAAAAGGAGCCGGCCGTTGGTGCCGTTGGTGTCGTCCACATCGGCAGCCATCTGATAGACATGTTATTATACACTTATTGTCCAATTTTATCGTCTGATGTAAAATAAGACACTGTATCATATATTTATTGTCATTTATTTTAGTTGCGTATGACTGTTAATAAATTGGTTAAAATTGGCTTTAAATGATGATTTGGTAAGTGTGAAACCCATATTATATAGATTTAGAATTCAAAATTGTGACACGTGCTTAAAAAAAACACAAAAAAAAAAAAACAAATTGAAACAATGAGGAAAGAGAAAGAGAGAGATAAAGGAGAACGGCCGCGACAATTGAAAATTTGAAAAAATAACTAAAATTTGGATCCGTTATAAAATTGTGACCATTTTTTTAAAATTTGTGATAATTATAGCAAAAAAGTGATATAAAAATACTAAAATACCTTTAACAACTAAAAACTCCTCCAATAGCCCCTGCTTCTAAGGATAAGGATTGTCTGCCCTCCCACTTCCAGTACCCTCCCGTGCTCTCCTGTTTGTATAGCCACGGTTAAGCCACGTCAATATTTTATATTACTATTCATTTTTATCTTATTATCTCTATAAAAAAAACAATATAAAATGTTGACGTGGCTTAACCGTTACTACACAAATTAAAAGAGTACGAGAAAGCACCGAAAATGAAACGGCAGACAATCCTTGTCTCGCTTCTAATTTATAAACAGGTGCAACTTTGTCTTCGCAAAAGTCGCCACATCGATCTGACCTCTAGTTCAATTCAACTCCATAGATCTTCGATAGGAATCCATAATATCGGGGCAATAGTCCAAATTTGCTCAAATAAGATTTTTCGTATCTCACAATCCAAACCCAATAAATAATCACAAAGCTTGAATTAAAATAAATGGTTAAATTAGATTAATAATTCTCGTGATAATAGGGTAACAAGAAGATAGCTTCTGTGATAAAAAAATTCAAATTTATACCTTCGTGGTGAAAACCGTTAGTATTCAAGCCCAACATTAACGTTACCGTTAACTCTCCATTAACATTGCCCACCCCACCCCAAACCAGCTTCTTTTTTTTTTTTTTTTTTTTCAAATAGCTTATCGCCCACTTGGGTTCTGCCTCTGCCTACCTGCTAATGCATGCATCGTAGGGCTTTCTCTCTAACCCACTGAGTTCAATACCCCTTTGTTCGAATTAAAACAGTAATTTCACTGGTAATCAAATGAATGTTTTGTGTAAAAAATGATCAGGTTACAAATGGTTACGGTATCGAAGCATCAAGCAGGAGTAAAAGGCAGGATCAGTAAATTACCAGAGGCCCTTCTTTGTCTTTGTCACGTAGTTTCCTTCCTTCCAACAATACGTACTGTAAAAAAAGGGCATAAAAAAATAAAAAATAAAAAAAGCCGATTACGTAATGACAAGCGTCATCAAATATTTCAATTTCGTAATAAAAAAATTAAAAAATGATTAGAAAAAGGAGCCGCCCGGCCCACCACTGCCTCTCCCTCCCCAGCTAGTGCTCGTGTTGCTTTATAGTTCACTGTTCATCTTCCTCCTCTCCCCGACGGTATAAATCCCCCAATGTGAGAGCAGATCAAATCAAATCAAATCAAAAATCAGGATCGAGCTCTGAAAATGGCTACCACTAATCAAACTCAAGTAGGTGGTCCCACAAGCCCACTCCTTGCTCCGTACAAACTTGGAAACTTCAATCTTTCTCATAGGTTAACTTAACGAACTCACTCACTCACTCAACCTTTTCTACAATTTTATTCTTCTACATTCTGCATTGGTTTTGTTGACTTATTATGTTTGAGTAGTTGAGATTTGGGCTGTTGGGTTTTGTTCATTTGGAAACAGGGTTGCAGAAAATCCCAGTTTTCTATCAAGAAAAATGAAATTACTGCTTATTTTTTTGGGTAAATTGCAGGTTACTGGGCAGTTTTTGTGCTTGTCAAATGTTTATTTGCCTATGCAAGAATCCTGAATTTTCAGAAATAAAAGCAGCAACTTTCATTGCATGGTTTGTTATGTAACATTTGTATGTTCACATTACTTGCAAAGCAAGGAATTGGTTTAGCTTGCGAGCTTGAGTTACAATAGATAGTGTGCTGCAACTTTTGGGTCAGTTTGTAAACTTTGTATTGATGTCTACCGCTATGAATTACTTGCTTTGTGTTCAAGATTGTTTGAACACATCGTATCTTAAAGTTGTAACTATATCACAGCAACTAAAGTCAACTGTTAAAGAAACTGAACTAGGACAGGCGTTACTGAAATTCGCCGTAAGCCCCAGATCTTGAAACCAAATATATGCGTGGATGATGCCTATAACCGACTGACATTCGGTTTGATATTGCTTCCCAAAACATAAATGGTACATCATGAGGTGTGAACTCTGATCGAACTCATCACACCTGAGTTAGTACTTGACCTTGACCTGAAATTACTTAATTCATCTTTGATATTAGGTCCACTTGGCTAGGAAAAGTATATCTCCTTTGTCGCTTTTTTGTCGTAATACTTAAATCTTGTTCTGTTTAGCAAGATCTGATAATACTTCCTATCAAACTTGTCATAGACTATGTTGTAGGTGCATTCTGATAACATACTTCTTCCTTGCCTTTCTGCAGAGTTGTCTTAGCACCATTGACCAGACAAAGATCATACGGAAATGTTCCTCAGCCACATGCCGTCTTATATTACTCTCAGAGAACATCGAACGGGGGTCTTCTCGTATCTGAAGCTACTGGAGTTTCTGACACAGCTCAAGGGTAACTTCACAAAGATTTGCTTTTCTCAAGTTTCTTTTACGTTAAATTTTAAATGGAATACTTACTTTAAATGTGCACTTTCTTCATTTCAAAGTTTGATAACATTTTTGTTTCTTTAATACGCGAAGGTACCCAGATACTCCCGGTATATGGACAAAGGAGCAAGTTGAAGCATGGAAACCCATTGTTGACGCTGTTCATGCTAAAGGAGGCATCTTCTTCTGTCAGATTTGGCATGTTGGGAGGGTTTCAAATACTGGTGTGGTTCTAACACTACACTTTTATGACTTCACGTTGGGTCATTGAAAGCGTTCGGATCACAAGTGAAAAGTTAGCCCATTGAAGCATCAGAATGTTGCCTTGATATTCCTGTAATAGTAATCTTTCAGATTGTGATTCTATGTATATTTTCTTACAGGATCTCAGCCAAATGGGCAAGCTCCAATCTCTTGTACTGACAAGTCACTAACCTCCGAAACGCCATCTAATGGCGTTTATGCTATTGAATTTTCTCCTCCAAGGCGATTAAGGACAGATGAAGTCCCACAAATAGTCAATGATTTCAGACTTGCTGCAAGGAATGCTATGGAAGCTGGTAAATTGTTTTTCCTTTAGTACGAAACAAAAGTTGCGAGAACTCAAAATTGCTTTCAACATGAGCAAACGAACCATCTCCTAATCTTCCAAATGTAATTAAAGGCATAATTTAATTTGCAGTTTGACTAGATGTGTGATAATAGTTCATACTAAATTACAAATAATATTTGGTGCACTGTAATTGTTTGTCTGACATACAGGCTTTGATGGAGTGGAAATTCATGGGGCCCATGGCTACCTTGTTGATCAGTTTCTGAAAGATCACGTGAATGACCGAACAGACCAATATGGCGGATCTGTGGAGAATCGTTGTCGATTTGCTCTGGAAATTGTTGAAGCTGTCGTTAACGAAATAGGAGCAGATAAAGTTGGAATTAGATTATCTCCATTTGCTGACTTTATGGACTCAGGGGATTCAAATCCAAAAGAATTAGGCCTCTGTATGGCCAATTCATTGAACAAATATGGGATCCTGTACTGCCACATGGTTGAGCCGAGGATAACGATAGCTGCAGAAAAGCGTGACCACTCCCATAGTCTTGTACCAATGAGAAAGGCTTTTAATGGTACCTTCATTGCTGCTGGTGGTTACGGCAAGGAAGATGGGAACAATGCTCTGGCTGAGGGCCGTGCAGATCTTATTGCTTATGGCCGTATTTTCCTGGCGAATCCGGATTTGCCGAAGAGATTTGAGCTTACTGCTCCTCTGAACAAGTACAACAGAGAGACATTCTACACATCTGATCCCGTCGTTGGTTACACTGATTATCCATTTCTTGAGGCCACTACTTAAGTTTACCACAACATATGGAAGCTTGAACACTCGGGCTCCTTTGATTCACCCGATTCTGTAATATCTTATAGTACCGTGTTGTATTTATTGCATTATCTATTGTTGTAGTGTCCCATGTTTGGGAATGAATAACATTTGTCAGTGTTGTGCTCTGTTCAGTGTACTCTCTGTTCAGTGTTGTACCGTATAGTGGCCGGAATGAATAACATTTGTCAAAGAGGAAACTCAATTCTTATCCCTATATAAAGTACAACCAATTGATCCTAGTTGTGCCTTGATCTGGCTGCAGAGTAAGCCAAGTTGGGCTTATTGGCCCTGATCTCCCTTTCACATATAACTATGGTGTTTGGGAGGATGAGTTTAAAGGTATTAACTTTACTATTATGTCTTGTTAATTGTATGGTTTGTGAACTACCCAATTCACAAACTCTGCTCACATCTGATATTCACTTTGATTTTTATATTTCCAGATCTTGGACTTGAAGGGTGTATGGAACGTGTTTGGATCCTTCGCACTTATGGTCATGTTTGTCGAGATATGCTACATGAGGAGCTTTTGAGAAAGCAACTAGAACCCTATCCTACTATATTTCTACGCGTTTCATGTTTGCAGGCATTGTAGTCTCTCTAAATGCATAATTCATATTAAATTTTATTAGGTGTGTGGAGTCAGGTGTTTTGTACCTCGATTCAAGTGTGGAAAGTATTGTTGAAGCTAGTAATGGCATTAGTCATGTAGCCTGTGGGCACAATATCGTTGTTTCATGTAGGTACGAGGGAATAACGTTTCTTCAGTTGAAAGAAAGTATATTTATCTTTTATCCTACTACTTCCAGGCCTGTTTCAAACATCTAACAGGTATTACAGGCTTGCTACTGTTGCATCAGCAGCTGCTTCTGGGAAGCTTTTGCCGTACAAGGTGGGTGGTCCAAAAGTGGCTGTCCAAACAGCTTATGGTATCGAAGTTGAGGTAGGAACAATTGTACTCTGGGATGACTAGTTCCTTAACTTCCTTTTGGGGCAGAAACTTTTTGATGACTTGCTACTATGTCCATTCTTTCTTACAATTTCAATTTCAGGTGGAAAATAATCCGTATGATCCCAGCCTGATGGTTTTCTTGGATTATAGAAACTACACAAAGCAAAAGGCTCCATCTTTAGAAGCAGAATATCCAACATTTCCTTATGTCATGCCCATGTCTCCAACAACATTGTTCTTTGAGGTTTGCTCGATGTACATCAGTTTGTCCGTCCTGTTACTTAACTTGCTTTCAAAGTACTTAGAGAAATTGATTGCAGGAAACTTGAAAAAGCTCTTGTCATGGTTAACGACAATGGGAATCTGTATTACGAAAACTTATGAAGAGGTAAATTTTGTATGAAGGAGGACAATGCTTACAATTTTTGAGATGAACAATCGCCTTTATTGTGAAAACATCTCTGAACTATCTGAACTAGGCATAATGCCTTGCCTTGTAGCGGAACAATTTATGCAGTAATTTGGTCTGGGTTACTTTCATAATTCAAGGCATAATCTTGCAGTAGTTTATGCAGGATTGGTCTTGGATTCCAGTTGGTGGCTCCTTACCAAATACAGAGCAAAACAACCTAGCATTTGGTGCTGCTGCTTGCATGGTACATCCAGCCACAGGTAACAATTAAACCGAATAAATTGATCAGAGCAGTTTCCCCAATTGTTCAGTCAAAACTAGCCTCTTAACTTTATGATCATCAAGCAGGGTATTCACTTGCGAGGTCTTTGTCCGAGGCTCCAAAATACGCTTCTGTGATTGCAACTATTTTAAAGCCGGATCATTACAAGGTTACTCCCAGCCGCCAAACGAGTAATCGGAACATGTCGATGAAAGTTAAGTGTTGGTTCGGTTTGTTTGGAATGGTTATCTGCATCTTATATAGAATGAGTGTGTCGAACTGTTTAAAGGGTTGGTATCCTTCGGACCTCGTTCTCAAAGTTTTTAGCTTACCTTCAGAAATATGACTAGCTTGAAGAGGAGACTCATCTCTCTGTCTGCATGTTGCTGCTCTTACATTGTCTATAGAATAATTCACTTAACTTGTAAACTTGCAGCCATAGTTGGTGGTGTTAGTCATGCAAACCAAATAATTAAGAGACTTGCAAGAACTGTATGTTGTGACCTTCATATTACTTTATCGGCGCATTCCCTAACATGGTATTAGAGTTCTTGTTGCATGAGCCTTGAGTTTGAAACCTTCAATCCTCATTCCCCTCTAAATCGTTAATTTGCAAGGCACAGAGTGAGCTGCATCGATATGTTCTTTTTCTTTAGACATCTACCTGTCTCGCATTTGAATTATGCTTGCTTTGTCATCGGCATCCCTGCTTAGCTAGCATACTGTGATTCGAGTGTCTTCTACTATCAACAGCATTCAGCTATGAGGAGTCATACTTGCAATTTGTGATTCACTCTTTTCCTTTCAGCAAGGAATACACTGGCCGCAAGAAAGGAAACGCTATTTTTGGACTAGCACTTATTCTGCAACAGGATACTGAGGGCATCATGACATTCTTTCGTACTTTCTTCTGCTTATCCACCTGGTACGATCAATTGCGTAGCTTTTCTAAACATTCTTGCTTCATGAAGTAAACTTGGAACAGATTTCTTCGGGAAAATTAGACGAACTTGAATGATTGATCGATGTTTGTTCTTCCATTGCAGGATGTGGCAGGGTTTCCTTGGCTCTACATTGTCGTCAGCTGTTCTCATTGGTTTCGCCTTGTACGTTTGTTTTAGCTCCAAATGACCTGAGAAAGGGCCTCGTGAGACGTCCACTTTCTGATCCTTCTGGAGGCGCTATGATTAGAACCTATCTCACATTCCCTAATTAGTGCTACTCCTACATAATAAGAGTACACAGTTTAGAGTACCCTAAGAAGTAAGATCCCACCCTACTTTTGAAGGTCACTTGTTTGTTTGTCTCTTTTTTTTTTTTTTCCGGGTGTCAATTGTACAAATGTATATGCAGCATTATTGTCAATACGTAATCAATATATCAACAATTATTAAATTTGATTTGGTTTGAAAAACCTTCCTTTTAACTAATTTTGCATAAAAGTAATTGAAATTTCACATCCTCCCGTCATCCCACGAGATTTTGAAACTGATTCAAGTTCTATATATGACACTAAAGACATTAGCTTTTAGCTATCAACTCATATAAAAAAAATTAAAAAAAAAATAAAAATGAGTATAAATAAGAAAAATAAAATATTACCGCATAAATAGTATCTTAAAAGTTGGTGTCTCAAGTGAGCTCAAGTTCTATAATGACGTCGTTTTTCTGTAAATGACGTCGTTTTCTTTTAATTTGCACCGAATAAAAATAACTTAATTTAAACGAAAACCCTAAAACTTCCAACGGCACATTCACGCAACACGTTTTTCTCTGTTTCTCTGTCTGAGAAAGGCGATTTTAGGGTGTTGAAATCAGATCTCTGCGATCGGAGAATGGTCTCACGGCGTACAATCGCTGTATGATCTGACGGCGTGCGACAGAGAATAATCTGACAACGTGCGATCGGAGAATGATCTGACGGCGGATACCGGAAAATGGTCTGACGGCTTCTGTGCTGCTGGTGCGATAGTGGTTCTCGTCAGCCATAAGATAAGCTTTTTTGGTTATAATTGATTATTTTAACTGCATTGTATGCCGATAAGGGCGAATAGAATTAGAATTAGGGTTTCATATGTTTTGGGAAACAAATGCATGCTATCTCTATGAATCTAGTTCGCGAAAAGATCTAAGTTCCCAGTTAGGGTTTTCGTTTGGAAAATAATATGAAGTCATCTTTTCATATATCTTCACAATTTTCATGGTTGCCTCAGTTATTTGGTGCTGCTATTTTTGGTTGCCTCGATATTTGTTTTAATACTTGTCATGGCTGCCTCAGATTTGTCGGCTTGATTTTATGGTTGCATCGATTTATAGTTGCCTCAGTTTATGGTTACCTCGGATATGTTGCCTCGGATTTGTTGCTTCAATTTATTGGCTTGATTAATAATTACATCGGTTATTTGATGCCTCATTTCATAGTTGCCTCGGATTATTTTGTAAGTCATTGATTAGGGCTTACCTCAATTGTTTAACATCACGATATTTGTTGTGAATTTTAATGGTTGTCTCGATAGTTTTTGCATTGGTTAATGGTTTTTGGGGCTTTTTGATCCCCAGGTCTTCAGTTTTTAATGCCTTATTTTTATGCATTATGGCTGCCTTTTTGATACATTTCATCGTTGCCTCGATCATTATGGGCTAATTAATCGCTTTCTCAAATATCTGGATGCCTTAAGTTCATGTTTTAATGCTTGTCATGGTTGCCTCATATTTTTTGGCTTAATTTTATAGTTGCATCGATTTATGGTTGCCGCAAATCTGTTGCCTCGACCCTCGATTTATGGTCACCCCATATATGTTGCCTCAAATTTATTGCCTCAGATATGTTGCCTCGATTTATTGGTTTGATTAATAATTACCTCGGTTAGTTGATGCCTCTTTCCTTAGTTGCTTTAGATTATTTTTTTAAGGCATTGATTAGTGGTTACCACCTTAGTTGTTTAATGTCACGATATTTGTTGCATACTTTAAATGGTTGTCTCGATAGTTTTTGCATTGTTTAATGGTTTTTTCGACTTTTTGATCCCTAAGTCCTGAGTTTTTAATGCCTTATCGCTGACTCGTTTTTTATGCATTATGGCTGCCATTTTGATACCTTTCGTCATTGCCTCATTCATTGTGGGCTAATAAATGGCTGTTTCAAATATCTTGATGCCTTAAGTTCATGTTTTTAATGCTTGTCATGGTTGCCTCAGATTTGTTGGCTTAATTTTATGGTTGCATTGGTTTATGGTTGCCTCGAATCTGTAGCCTCAACCATCGATTTATGGTTACCTCACATATATTGCCTCGATTTTGGTTGCCTTGAATTTACTGCCTTGGATTTGTTGCCTAGATTTATTGGTTTGATTAATAATTACCTCTCATTGTTTCATGCCTCATTTCGTAGTTGCCTCAGATTATTTTGTAATGCATTGATTGGTGGTTACCTCAGTTGTCACCATAGGTGTTGCGTATTTTAATGGTTGTCTCAATAGTTTTGGTTAATGGTTTTTTGGGCTGTTTGATACCCAAGTCTTGAGTTTTTAATGCCTTATGGCTGACTTGTTTTTTATGCATTATGGCTGCCCTTTTGATACCTTTCGTCGTTGCCTTCATCATTGTGGGCTAATAAATGGTTGCCTCAAATATCTTGATGCCTTAAGTTCATGTTTTAATGCTTGTCATGGTTGCCTCAGATTTGTTGGCTTAATTTTATGGTTGCATCGATTTATGGCCTTGAATCTTCAGCCCTCGACTTATGGTTACCTCGGACATTTTGCCTCAATTTTGGTTGCCTCGAATTTGTTGCCTCGGATTTGTTGCCTCGATTTATTGATTAGATTAATACTTACCTCAGTTATTTGATGCCTCGTTTCGTAGTTGCCTCAGATTATTTTCTAAGGCAATGATTAGTAGTTACCTCATTTGTTTAATGTCACAATATTTGATGCGTATTTGAATGGTTGTCTCGATAATTTTTTGCATTGGTTAATGGTTTTCTGGGCTCCCCAAGTCCTGAGTTTAATGCCTTATGGCTGACTTGTTTTTTATGCATTATGGCTGCCTTTTTTAATACCTTTCATCGTTGCCTCGATCAGTGTGGGCTAATTAATGGATGTCTCAAATATCTTGATGCCTTAAGTTCATGTTTTAATGCTTGTCATAGTTGCCTCAGATTTGTTGGCTTAATTTTATGGTTGCCTCGGATCTGTAGCCCCGGCCCTCGATTTATGATTACCTCGGATATGTTGCCTAAAATTTGTTGCCTCGATTTATTGGTTTGATTAATAATTACCTTGGTTATTTGATGCTTCATTTTGTAGTTGCCTCAGATTATTTTCTAAGGCATTGATTAGTGGTTACCTCAGTTGTTTAATGTCACGATAATTGTTGCGTATTTTAATGGTTGTCTCGATAGTTTTTGCATTGGTTAATGGTTTTTGGGCTTTTTGATCCCCAAGCCCTTTGTTTTTAACGCCTTACAGCTGAGTCGATTTTTATGCATTATGGTTGCCTTTTTTGATACCTTTCATTGTTGCCTCAATCATGTGGGCTAATTAATAGCTGTCTCAAATATCTTGATGCCTTAAGTTCATGTTTTAATGCTTGGCATGGTTGCCTCAGGTTTGTTGTCTTAATTTTATGGCTGCATCGATTTATGGTAGCCTCAAATCTGTAGCCTCAGCCCTTGATTTATGGTTACCTTGGATAGGTTGTCTCGATGTCAATTGCTTCAAATTTGTTGCCTCGATTTATTGGTTTGATTAATAATTACCCCGGTTATTTGATGCCTCATTTTGTAGTTGCCTTGGATTATTTTGTAAGGCATCAATTAGAGGTTGCCTTAGCTGTTTAACGTCATGATATTTGTTGCGTATTTTGCATTGGTTAATGGATTTTTGGGCTTTTCGATCCCAGTAGGTCCTCACTTTTTAATGCCTTATGACTGCCTCGATAGTTTTTGCATTGGTTAATGGTTTTTGGGCGTTTTGATCCCGAAGCCCTTTGTTTTTAATGCCTTACAATTGAGTCGATTTTTATGCATTATGGTTGCCTTTTTTGATACCTTTCATTGTTGCCTCAATCATGTGGGCTAATTAATAGCTGTCTCAAATATCTTGATGCCTTAAGTTCATGTTTTAATGCATTGGCATGGTTGCCTCAGGTTTGTTGTCTTAATTTTATGGCTGCATCGATTTATGGTTACCTCGGATCTGTAGCCTCGGCCCTTGATTTATGGTTACCTTGGATATGTTGTCCCGATTTTGATTGCTTCAAATTTGTTGCCTCGATTTATTGGTTTGATTAATAATTACCCCAGTTATTTGATGCCTCATTTCGTAGTTGCCTCAAATTATTTTGTAAGGCATCGATTAGAGGTTGCCTCAGCTATTTAATGTCATGATATTTGTTGCGTATTTTAATGGTTGTCTCAATAGTTTTGCATTGGGTAATGGATTTTTGGGCTTTTCGATCCCAGGTCCTCACTTTTTAATGCCTTATGGCTGCCTCGTTTTGTACGCATTATGGCTGCCTTGTTTTGATACCTTTCACCGTTGCCTCGATTATTGTGGGCTAATTAACGGTTGTCCCAAATATCTTGATGGCTTAAGTTCATGGTTACTTTTGACTATTATGTTGTCAGAATTAATGTGTGTTCAATGGCCTTGGTTATTTTGATGCATCATTCTTAGGTATTTTGTTGGTCAACTTGTTGGTTTTCTCATCTTGTTATTATCTTGTTGGATTTACGGTTAATTGTGACCAAAAGAATAACTTTTGTTTCTATCTTAGATCATGGGGCCTGATTATATTGAAACCTTGATTCATATTGGGTTTAAATTTGCTGTCTCGGTTAATGATTTCCTCAGTAATTTGTTCCTTGAATTCATGGTCCCTCAGATTATTTGATACCTCAAATTTCGTTGCTTCTGTTATTGTTTGCCTAATATTGTTGCCTTGGTGAATGGTTTTTACCTAGCTCTAGATTATTTGATGCCTCAGATTATTTTTGGAGTTAGCTCACCCTTGCGGGATCACGATTCTTTATATATACTTGGTATTGGCCATAATTTACAAGAACATTCGGTAAATACATTCAACCAACTCCAATCCTTTTACCCATTAACATCTTAGAAGATTTCACGAAACCCTTATCGCTTAGATTTCTGACTTTTCGGAAATATTTTAGCTGATGAATTAGTAGTTGTCGATGAAGGTTGATATCTTGCTTGGTTTATATTAAGGTTCCATTTTAAGCAAGAATGCTACTTATGCCGCAGCACCACATAGTCATTCCTCGTTACACAGGAAGGAGCCAAGAGAGGGAGACTGAAAGTAAGAGTGCTAATAACTGCAAAGAGCATAAAAGCACATATTCCCCTGATTAATGCCTAGTCGTTTGAAAATTAAGAAAGGGTGCCTAGATCTGCTGATGCGCCCGCCTAATATGTTTGCTCCCCATGTTTGTATTATGTTCCAATATTTCATAATATATATATATATATATATATATATATATATATATATATATATATACACTTCATAATATATACTTCATAATATATATATATATAAACCATTGGTTAATGGTTTAGCCGCCTAGGCGCTAGGTCCCAACCCATCGCCCGACTAACGTCTAACATCTTTTGGAACCTTGATGATGATGTCAAGATATCCCACTTCTTATACCCCAAGAAGCTAATGGGCTGAATTCTTTAAATGAAGACACAAAACCAAATGGGATGGACTCTCATGATTTTGAATATAGTTTTACTAAACAAGTTTTTAAGGCCTAAAACTTGAAAATTGTTTTTTAGTTTAAAAAGTTGGATTCAAGTAGAGTACCAAACAGACCCTTAATTTTTCACTGTAATTTTATTCCCTTTACTGCTGCCTTGCCTGACGCCTATCATGGTTGCCTCAGATTTTGTTACCCTAATTTTTGTTGCCTCAGTTATTTGATGCCTCGGTCCATGGTTTCCTCAAATTAATGTTGATATCGTTCATGGTTGTCAGTGTTGAGAATATTGCGTTTAAGAATGGGAAAAACATAATGAACTCGAGAAATTGAAAACAAAACAACCAAAGCAAATAACACCATTCATCTTCATCTTGGTCTAGTCATCATTATACATACTTGTTGGCTTGCTCGTAACATCTTCAGTAAAGCATGTCCTTCATTCTTGATTTCCAAGTAACACAGTTAAAGTGGGTCACACCATCCATTCGAAAAGGATATCAACCAAACCAAGCTTTGATTCCACTTGGTGAGAATATCGATTTTACGAATAGGAAAAACAGAACAAACTCAAGAAATCGAAAACAAAATAATCAAGACAAATAACATCGAGAATTAATTGCTTTGATACCACTTGTTGAGAATATCGCATTTTGCTAATGGAAAAAACATAACGAACTCGAGAAATCGAAAACAAAATAATCAAGAGTAATAACACTAAGAATTAACTTGGTTCAGCTATATGTGCCTACATCCACAGAGCAGCAACAATAATTTTTTACTATATCAATAATGAGTACAATGAATAATCTTGTCAAATCTCTATGATCAAGACTTGATGAAAAACCTAAGGTATCGTTTGGTATACAGACGGGACGGGACGGAACGGGATGGGACGGGATGGGATGGGACAGGACGGAACGGAACAAAGCGGGAGCAAAGATGCCCTCGGATGGAAACAAGGAGGAAGAAGAAGGAGACGAAGAGGTTATAATTTTGTGTTCCATGGATGTGGAACGAGTCGTTCCAGGGGGGTGAGGTGGAACGAAAATTTACCCAAAACTAGTCCCGTAGAACAACTCGTTCCACCCGTTTAAGGCGCACCAAACGTGGGACGGAACGCCTTGTCCCACTCTGTTCCGTCCCGTCCCATGTACCAAACGGTACCTAAAAGAACAAGAACAAGAGATACACTTTGCCCTTGCAATATTCTCTCACTCTAATCCCTTGAGTGGTATACAAAATACTGTTTTACTCCTATTCAAAACTAAAACAATAGCCCTTTATATAGACATAATAAATGTCGTCTTCAATAAAGATTACTAATCCTAATTGGAATCTAGTTATGAATCTTTCTCCAATAGAAAAACCAACTCCAATTAGGAAAGCAATTTAATCATCCAAGACTATAATTCCCAATAGCCTTAGGACAACCCATCATAGGCGGGAAAAACCCAACAGTCATATCTTCATTCATGAAGATTCTTTGTTGCCTCAAGTATCTGATGTCTTTCATCACAGTTGACTTGGCTTCTCGAATTCATGGTTGCATCTGTCATCGATGCTTGAATTCTTTGTTGCCTCAGTTATTTGATTCTTATTCAACATGGAACTATTGCAGTATTGGGATCCTGACGCGTTAGGGATTCCACGGCCAAATGGTCGAACAAATACGGGATCCTTGTACTGCCATGTGACTGAGCCAAGAATGAAGACACCGGGAGTTAAAAAGTGAAAGCTCTGATTGTCTTGCGCCGATGAGAGAAGCATTTCAAGGTGCCTTCATTGCTGCAGGTGGTTTTGAAAGGGAAGATGGGAACAATGCTGCGGCTGAGCGTCGAGCAGATCTTATCGCTTATGGTCGTTGGCTCTTGGGCTAACCCAGATTTGCCAAAGAGATTTGAGCTTAATGCTCCTCTAAACAAGTAGAAGTCACACCGATTATCCATTTCTTAAAACCAGAGTCTAAAAGCACTTTAAATGTTTTTCCTGGCGCTGTTTTTTGGGAGATTGAACTTTAAGGACCCTTACAGTTAGCTAAGGCTCCGGAAGTTGAACCTTATAAATCAACCTCCGTCCAGCTCGATGTCTACAATCTGTTTTTCTCTGTTAATTCTCTACAATTTCTTTTCGTTAATTTCAATTTATTTGAGCTAAAAATGGAAAGCTGTTTCAAACTAGTGTAAATAGAGCCACCGAAGAGAAGAAATGTCAGAAATCCAACAAGGAAGGCAACATTGAACGATGCATGCAGATTGCAGGTTTATAACCAATTCATTACCTGCCCATTGATTTCTCCCAATGTCTCAATTCCATGTAATTCTTACCAGAAAATTGTTGCAAGGATATAATTCATTGCTGATGTCCTTGGAGCCGTCGCTTGCGTTTCTATTTTCTGGTGTTGTAGCCGACGAGGCAAGGAAGAAATATAGGAGCAAAGTAAATCGTGGTGCCATGGATTTGTCCCCATATATATATATATATACACACACATACAAATCTGAAGCCCACCAAATTGTGTCCTCAAATGTATCAATGGCATTTGGTATACGTACATGGAATTTGTATATGTATACATGCACAGACATTTTGAACTTTATTTACATTAATAACTAGAGGGTTGCTTATTTCAACGAAAGAGAAACGAAAAAGAAAAGAACGGTGATCATAATGGGGAGATTTCAATAAGAGCTATAACCACCTTCAACACCTTCAGGAACTAGTACATCAAAATCACTTACAGTCCATTCCGCAGTCTCTCCCGAGTTACTGACGTATATTTCTGTACCAACATTAATCGAAGACCATACCCTCTCTGCTGGTTTTGTTCCTGGGTCCTGTACAACAAGTTCATGAGCACCTCAGACTAATTAAAATGGTTTCAGCATCAACTTAGGAGAACATAGGCTTTTACTTAAGGCAAGGAAATTACGTTTACTAAGAAAAACCCAAACCAATATACAAAATTTGAAATGATAACATTATGTTTCGGACAGAGTTGTACTCGTAAATTTTTTTTTTTTAAATTTTCAATTTATGTGAATATGTGTGGAGGGGCCAAAAGTTTAAGGGCCTAGCCTAAGGTCCTGCAATTCTGAGGGCCGACCCTGCTAATGGCATCCTTGCCATCCCATTTGAAAGATTTATGTTCCTGCAAGATCTTAAACCCTCTCTGGTGTGGATCATCCAGTTTATATAGAGGGACTGCTTCCGGGATTCATGGCAAGTCAACTTGTTTTAAGTATCAGACACAACTTTGTATGTAGGAAAAGGTTAAAATGCAACACAGGGAACAAGCTTCAAAAAGTAAGATACCAACCAAAATACTTTAGACGATTGAAGAAATGAACTCTCAAGGAACGTTTTTGAGCAAATACAAAATTATACCTGGTAGAAGTACAACCGGCTAGAGAGGGCACCCACATCAAGCTCCCACGTCCTGGGGTCGCCAACCCATCCATTTCCTTGCTTTCCAGGATAGCCATGCACAGCCCATTCCGGATGCGGAAGAATTTGCACCAATTCCTGTGCTTGTGGATTGCTATATGGATCACATATATCATATGGTTTCTCCAGATATTCAGCATTCCCAGGAGCACAGTAGAGATGGTAAGCAGAATATGGAAACCGAGATGTTTCATTTCTGTATGTTATGTCACCGCTAACAGTAACATGGTAAGGCGGGCAGGAGACAAGGTTATCTGGCCGACACCAGCTTGTTGTTTCTGGATTTATTATCATTTCACTATATCTAGTTACATCTGTCAGAACATTACCATCACATGGTTTTCCATTATTCTTCCAACAGCTTCCTATATCAAGCATATAAAACTGACTGTTTGGCCCTCCTCCACGTTTAACATCAAGTGTTAATCGTACTTTAAAATGTGGAGACACTGGCAGCTGCAAAAACAAAGAAAATCACGATGAAGTGCTTCCGTGGAGTCACTTCAAACTTTGAAATGTTGCTGCATGAGAAATAGAAATACAAAGAGTTGGTATCATAAATATCCAAATGCATACACCATATTGGACCTGAAGTGTTCAACTAAACTCATCCTACGCTCAGTGAAGGCATGCGTTCTTAGCATGAATGGGAATGTCAAACTTTAATGCCTAGTAAGAAAGAACTAAAGCTGAGTAATCAAACCTTTCTCATGATGCCACGACCATCGTAGTGGTAACCACCATTAAATCCTTTTGTTGCATCTGCACGCAGATACAACATAAGCCAGGGATACTTTGAAGATGTTGTCAACCTCTGCGAGAAAATCCAACTTCCTGTGCTCAGGTTTTTCTGCCAGGAGACCGAAAAGTAGGAGTTCCTTCCGATACCGTTGGTCAAATCAGCATCAAGATCATAAGTTCCATAAAATCCTCCAGTCACAGACAATTTTTGGTAACCGTCAGAAACCAATCTTGAGTAGTTATGGTACACGAGGGGCTGGTTCATGCAACCTTCACCGAAACATGGAAAGTTCCTATCTGTTACAATTTTGCTTAAGTGCTTGCCATTTTCAGGACAAAGAGTAGTGTTCTTGTCAAAATTTCCATTCTTAAGCATGACCATCCAAAACTGCCATGGATCCGATGAATTATGAACCTCGCATAAACGAGCAAGATACAGTTCCTTTTCCGTTGCATACAAGTCAGGGTCTGTGTATGACTTGAAATCCCTTAAGGGAAACATATCGCCAGCCCTTAAGTTGTTGTCTGATTCATTAACTCTGTGATGAAGTACACACTTACTCTCCACGTCAAGAGAGGCTCCGATCCATAGGTTCTGATAATGGAAAATATATAAAACCAAAAAGGATCAATTAGAAAGCAAATTTTATGTGGCAGAGTCAATCTAAATTACCGTTATTCCTAAACACGGTGGTACATAGATAGTGACACAAAACTATGGAAAGAAGCAACAATGTATTGCGCTATCGTTCTACATCCAAGTTCAGGTAGCTGAGTGAGTGAAGTTGATCCTCAAACAAATGCGAGAAAAACGAGCATCAAAACATTTCCAAATGCGAGAAAAACGAGCAGGAGCATAAACATATACAGTTGAAATATAAAGACCTAATATTTATTTGTTCTAATTTCACGATGTGGAAGTGATTTGGGAACTATTTGCATCATCAAGAAACAAAACAACACAGGAAAAATGAACCATAAAACGTACATTTAAATTCCCATTATCTTTTTCAACGGAGTGAAAGCCTACACTAAATTAATCTAATAAACTATAACATCAAGCCTTATCCCACCAACTAGAGTCGGGTAGAAAGCCACTGCGCTCGGTTATGCACCAAGTCGTTAGCTACAAGTTATCTATATCTTTTCTTAAAGTCTCTCACTAAATTAATCTGACCTACGGATATTAAGTGCCGAAAAAACCGAACAGTGTTTCAAAAGCAAAGGCAATCATTCACTTTAATCAACTAGTCAAAGAAGATAATTCATGTACCGGTAGTAGTAACAGTCGGACAATGGATATCAGCACAATCAGCGAGCCTGGGGCTGCCCATGCCGGGCGCTTCACTTCCAACTTCATTGCAGAAGTTCCAAGCTTCCAACGCAACTCTCACATTTGGGTTCCTCATTCCCGGGTCTCCTATTGCCGACGTGTACTCGCCCGACTCCGAGTCCGACACATAGTCACCCAAATTCGACACGAAGAGTTGACAAACAAGAACATAAAGAACAACATAAGCTGACCCGACACGGCGACCCATCATCTCTAACCGTGAAGGACTGCGAGGAAGAAGTGGAGCATCTGGTCGCGGGAAGCGAGCTTCACTCGGTTCTTGTGGATTTTGGTTGGTGAAGAAAACAGAGTTAGTCTTGCTTTGAAGCGAAGTTGCTCTGGACGCGTTGCGTGTGTTTTTCAGGGACATGAAGGAAATGGGAAGCCCAATACGCAATTAGGCCCACTAACTTGGGTGTCCAAGGACAGATAAGATAAATTATGGGACATATTTTAACTTGGGTGGCCAAGAACAAGCACACGGATCCCCTTATGAGCAAATTATACAGGTCGTTGAATTTTGATCCAACGGTTACAGATAAGGGATAGATCCCTCTAAAAGTTATAATAATTGTAACCAATCAAAATCGAACAGTTCGTGTGATTTGCTCAGGAAGCTCAGCCTCCTAAGCTTATAAGGGGATCTGTTCCCATTGGTCAATCGGCAAAACTCACATTTACAATTTATTATTAATTTTGTTTGGTTTTGCTTAGGTGTATGAGTTAATTTTTTTTAACAAAATAAGTTACAAGTCCTTGTAGTGTATGAGTTTTTTTAAGAAAAACTAATGAAAATGGTTTAAAAGTTTTAAATCTTAACCAAAAGCACCTTAATACTAGTAAAAATCCACATCAAACCAGTCCAATCTTAATTTTTCATAAGGCTCTTATAAGGTAACGAAATCACACAAGATTAGAGGGTACGAGTTCATATCCATGCCCTCTTTCTTTTATACAAGACCCACACATTGAAACTCAATGTCCAGTGATCAAGTTCTCTAAATGTAACGTTCTTCACAATTTTTGCCATTTTTTTTCAAATCTAACGGAACTTGTCCTCAACTCAAGTGAGAAGATTAATCCTCTCCTCATGGGCTTCCTTTCCATGGAAATGTTTCCTCAAAATTGATCTATCATATTTGGTTCTAGAAATAGGGCAATGTTTTGTTTTAGAAATAGTAGTAGTGACAATGTTCAATTCTAGAAATAGTGGCAAGTTCAGTTCTAGAAATAGTTGTAGTGATGGTATTTAGTTCTAGAAATAGTGGTAGTATTGAGTTCTAGAAATAGTGGCAGTGTTTAGTTATAAAAATTGTTGGCAGTGTTCAGTTATAAAAATAGTGGCAGTGTCAAGTTCTAGATATAATTGCAATGGTAGTGTTAAGTTCTAGAAATAGTAGCAATGTTCAGTTCTAGAAATAGTGGCAATATTCATTTCTATAAATAGTTATAGTAGTTTCATGGATTTGGGATAACGCTTACTAGGCGCAAGGGCTGAAAGGAAAAATAGAAGGTTGCGTTTCCAACCCATTGGTTTTAATATCTAGGGTTCGATGTACATAATTTGTGTTATGTAATTAAATAAAGTTATTAGGGTGCTTTTGGTTAAGAAAAAATTTGGAGAGACCATTTTTCATTAAACATTGTGTTCTTTTTATTAAATAAAATTATTAGGCTGGTTTTGGTTAAGAAAAAGTTTGGAGAAGCCATTTTCTTTAAAGTTCTTTTTTTACTGATCAGTTTGTGATTTAATTACAAATACATATTTCAATCAAATGAGACGAACCTTACACCTACACAGTATAAATTACCTAAGGTCATCTCCAACCGAATGGGCTATGTTTAGCCCCCCTCTAGATTATAGCCCTGTAAGAAATTATTTTTTAATGAACAGTGTCAGACCATATTTATATACTATCTCCAACCAAGAGGGGCTATTTTTTAGCCACCCCCTCAACAATTTATTATTTTAAGTTTGTTCTTTAATTTTATTGGTTAATTGAATTAAATTATCATATTAAAATAAGGTTTGAACATATTTTGAGTGTCACTTGTCGCTAAATGAATAAGCCCTCGGATTTCTTATCATTTGGTTGAAGATGTGACCATTTGAAAAAATATTGAAAAGATTAAATTTAGATTGAAAGAGGTAAGGGAGGGGTGTTTATGAACATGATATGAGAAATAGTGTAGAAATGGCTTAGGTATTAATTTGGGAAAAAATTAGATTTTTTTTTTTTTTTTTGAAATTTTGGACTTGAAAGAAAAAATGGGCCCCTTAAACGGGCTACTCGACTGGCTAAGAGTGCCCAGCCCAATGGCCAAAGGGCTAAAGCTTGGCTTGGTGGGTCCCTTTTTTCTTTGGCCCAACTCTTCATTGGAGTTGGGTTTTGGAGCATTTCACACTGGATTTTGGACTATAGCCCTAAAGCCATCTCCAGCCAACCCGGTCAAAGGGTCATAGACCAAAATATAGCCTGTTTTGACACAAAAACTGTCTCCAACTGAGGACTAAGCCAAATGGCTTGTGGGCCTCACTTAGCTAAAAATTAGACACCATGCTAGCAGGCTAGCCAAAATGAGTCAGCCAGCCCGATGCAGCAGCCCAGCCTACTTGCAATGGCTACCTGGCATCAGCATGATGCCAACTAGCAACGGCTAGCTGACATCATGCTGACATCAAATTGTCATTGGAATTTTTTTTTTAGACAAATTTTTTTTTCTTATAAATAGTTAAGTCATTCCTACACCATTTCTCACATCCTTTTAACCATTCCATACTATCTTACCTCATTTTATTTCAATTCTTCACATTCTATTCTCTTACATCTTCCAATAATCTTTCCTTTAATTTTTTCAATAATTTTCAAATGGCCACATCTTCAATCAAAGGAAGGGCTTGGACCTAACAAGAAGATGAAGCTCTTTGCATGGCTTATAGATGGGTCTCGAAAGATAGTGTCAATAGTAGTTCTCAAACAAGTGAAGGTATTTGGACTCGTACGTCCAAAAAGTACTATGAGTTCTACGAAGGCAACACTCCACTAAATACCCAAAACCACAAGAGTTATTCTTCAAGATAGAAAAAAAAAACATCTTCAACCAAGTTCGAATAAATAGCATCAAGCCATGATAAGGGCCGAAATGAGACATGAAAGCGGAGCCAATCTTTACGACGAAGTAAGTGTTAAGTTTTTTAATAAGTTTTTAATACCTCATCCTTTAAAATTGACAATGTCATACTGCATTTTACGAATTTGTGATACATCCGTCAATTTTTTTGTTAATTTTTCTGTTAAATGCTGACGTGGCAAGAGATAGGGACCACTTTCTATTAAAAATTAATAAAATATTATTAAAAACTAAAAAAAATATTTAATATTTTTTAAATATTAAAATAATAATAAAAGTAAAATTAAAAAAAAAAGGGTAAAGTACAAAAAACTACCTCAACTATTGGGTCACGACAGTTTCATACCTCATCTTTTAAAATTGACAATGTCATACCGCATCTTACGAATTTGTGACAATGTCATACATCTGTCAATTTTTCTGTTAAGTGCTGACGTGACAATAATAATAAAAAAAAGCAGAAAAAAAAAAAAAAAAAAAAAAAAAAAAAAAACCCTCATTTCGTCCCTCCCTTCCCCCTCCTCTCTCCTCTCCCCTCTCCCCATCTTCATCTTCTTCCCCCACCTACAAATCCCAACAAAAAAAATAAATAAAAAATAAAAATCCAATTTGTCTTCCCCCCACACCCACACTCTTCTCCTTTTTGCAACCCAGAAAAAAAAAAAAAAAAAAAAAAAAAAAAAAAAAAAAAAACCTCAGATCCCGTCGATGGGAAGATGGGTGCGCAGAGAAGGTGGAGAATGGGTGCAGAAGAGGATGTGGAAAATGGATGAAAGTAGTGGATTTGGGGTTTGATGGGTTTTCAAAAAAAAAAAAAAAATTTCCTTCTTCTTCTCCCCTTCTTCTTCTTCTTCTTCTTCTGCAGGGGAGTTAAAAAAAAAATTTCCTTCCTCCTTTTTCTCCTCTTCTTCTTCTTCTTCCTCATTCTCCTTCTCCTTCTCCTTCTTCTTCTTCCGCAGAGGGGTGTTGATGGGTTTTCAAATTTTTTTTTTATTTTTTCTTCCTCTTCTTCTTCTTCCTCCTCCTTTTCTTCCTCTTCTTCTTCCTCCTCCTTCTCCTTCTCCCTTCTTCTTCTTCCGTGCCGACAGGGGAAATTTTTTTTTTTTTTTCCCTTCCTCATTTTTTAACTCTTCTTCTTCTTCTTCCTCCTCCTCCTCCTCCTCCTTCTCCTTCTTGTTCTTCCGCAGGGGGGTTGTTGGGTTTTCAAAATTTTTTAATTTTTTTTTATTTTCTTGGGTTTGCTGGTGGGGGGAAGAAAATGAAAATGGGGAGAAGAGAGAGGAGGGGGGAGAGGGAGGGGAGGGACAAACCGATGGTTTTTTTTTCTCTGCTTTTTATTATTATTTTAATATTTATAAAATATTAAATAACTTTTTTTTAGTTTTTAATAATTTTTTAATAAAAAGTATGTCCCAAATCAAGCCACGTCATCACTTAACAGAAAAATTGACAGAGGTATGACATTGTCACAAATTTGTAAGATGCAGTATGATATTGTCAATTTTAAAAGATGAGGTATGAAACTGTCGTGATCCCAATAGTTGAGGTAGTTTTTTGTACTTTACCCTTTTTTTTTTAATTGTACTTTTATTTATTATTTTAATATTTGAAAAATATTAAATATTTTTTTTAGTTTTTAATAGTATTTTATTAATTTTTTAATAGAAAGTGGTCCCCGTCTCTTGCCACGTCAGCATTTAACAGAAAAACTAATAGAAAAATTGACGGAGGTATGACATTGTCGCAAATTCGTAAGATGTGGTATGACATTGTCAATTTTAAAAGATGAGGTATGAAACTGTCGTGACCCCAATAGTTGAAGTAGTTTTTTGTACTTTACCTTATTTAATTATATTACATTTAATTTCATAAAGATAAGAAATATGGAGAATTACTCACTTTAGCGATACGTGTCACTCGAAATCCTATTCGAAAAATTATTAAGATTATATAAAGATAAGAAATCCGGATCGACAAGTGACACTCAAAATATGTCTGAAAATATTATTTTAATATGGTAGTTTAATTCTATTAACCATATTAATTCAATTAAAATAATAAATTATTGAGGGGGCTAAAAAATAGCCTCCTTTTGTTGGAAATGGGCTTTTTGTCAAAGGGCTATGTGTTGGCCTATGACCCTCTGGCCCCCTCGATTGAAGATGGTATAAAATATGGTTTAGCACTGTTCATTAAAAAAAAAATTCTTGCAGAACTATAGGGCTAAACATGTCCCTTTGACCCCATTTCAGT